CCTTCAGGTGTGTCAGCCTGACCCACGTCCTCGCCTGTAGGATGGGGTCCTTCAGGTGTGTCAGCCTGACCCACGTCCTCGCCTGTAGGATGGGGTCCTTCAGGTGTGTCAGCCTGACCCACGTCCTCGCCTGTAGGATGGGGTCCTTCAGGTGTGGGGGAGGGATGGGGTCCTTCAGGTGTGGGGAGGGATGGGGTCCTTCAGGTGTGGGGGACGGATGGGGTCTTTCAGTTGTGGGGGAGGGATGGGGTCCTTCTGGTGTGGTGGACGGATGGGGTCCTTCAGGTGTGGTGGACGGATGGGGTCCTTCAGGTGTGGAAGGAGGGATGGGGTCCTTCAGGTGTGGAGGGAGGGATGGGGTCCTTTAGGGGTGGAGGAGGGATGGGGTCCTTCAGGTGTGGGGGACGGATGGGGTCCTTCAGGTGTGGAGAGAGAGATGGGGTCCTTCAGGTGTGGGGGACGGATGGGGTCCTCAATTAGGACAAGGCCATAGACGTGAGATTTTGAGATCTTGAGATCGAGGGACTCTTTACCGCCTCACTTGAGATCTTGTAGGTGCTGGATCTTGTGGCGGTGCCCTGAGAGATTTATAGAACTGTTTATTGACCATTAATCTGTTGGCACGCTGGTTTTGAAATTTTGAACGTGACTCTTTTTTTAAAACTGTTCATTTCTAAAATTAAATTACTTGTTATCCATGTTAACTGGAGTCTTAATTAACAAAATCCAAGTGCAATAGCACATCAGCGATTGAAGCTGTGTTTTTAATATGGTAGTTATTTTTAATTTAATTAATAATAAATAATAAGATAGTAATTTTCAAGTAATTTAATATTAATAATGCGATAGTGTTTTTTATAAGATAGTTTGGCTGCCTGAGTGTATATACATTGAAATGTTATGGCGATGCACTGTGACAAATTAATACCTATATATGTTACCTGAAGAATCTGTAAAATTTGGGGGTATTAATCACAGCCGTAGTTATGATATTTTCAAGTTAAATTTTAAATATTTTTTTCATTTTGAATACATGAGTTTCTGCCAATATTTAAAGCAATCAAGACATAACTGAGGTTAGGGTTCACACCAGGGATCGCGTAAATATACTGTAACATATTACGTTATGATGTATGATATATTAGGTATGATCTATAATATAAGGTCACATACTATGTATGACATATACCTAATATATGTGTAGGTTAATATACAGTGCATCAGTGGACATATAATTCTAACATACCATACGTTGACCATGTGCAGTGACGACATCCATCAGACGTCGCTGTGCGAGTTCCCCGTACAGAAGGTGGTGTCTGTGGCCCGTCATCCCCACAGCACGGTCCTTGCCCTCTACGATCCCCCTATGGGGGGTCCATCCCCTAACCCCAACGGCATGGGTGCAAACTACATGACTGCTGTAGGGGACGGAGCAACAACCATACGTAGGATACTAGCATTGTCCGAGTCCTGCCTGGTGGAGAGGGATCCTACGAGCTATGGGCTGGTGACCCTTAGACCCCTTAGTGACATCCATGCCTTAGTCCGATGCCAGCACAACCCGCAACGCCTTGAGATCGAGTGGGTCTCGGGCGGGTCCAGGGTCTATACCTGCTCAGACCGGGACGCATTGTTAGCGTCACTCATGGATGGTGCCAGAGGGTCAGGACATCTTGGGGTCCATGTTCGGATGTCCCCTAGTGACCCATGCAAGAGACTGGGTCCTGCTGGGGTCCCTGTCACTGAGGAAGTGGAGAGCATGTGCCTGAGGCTCCTGCAGCAGCCCGTTATAGGGTGCCCGTTTTCGGAGGCCGTTGAACGGTTCAACGCTAACGTCCCGTACTCGGGTCTCCTGCATTCTGTTTCCGTTGATGGTTTCTTCGCTGAGAACAAAGAACGTCTCATCACCGGGGCTCTAGGGGTTATAGTCATGCGTGGGGACGATAACCCTTACTCCCCAAACTCAACCACCACAACCCCCGTGGGGAACTCTACAACCCACGTGTTCCAACCCCCGATGTCATCAAACTCTTCTTCCCCAGCTTCAACCCCAACAAACGTCGCACCTTCTACGATGGTTCCCTCTTCCTCAGTACCCTCCACCCTCCCCACCAGCAGCACCTCCAGCAGCAGCACCACGTCCACCAGCAGCACCAGTAGCAGCACTCAGCAGCCACAGCAGCCACAGCAGCACAGCAATGCTGTGGGCCTCAGCAGCGTGACTGCTGAGGAGCTGCAGGCGCAGTTCCATGCCCTCAGGAGGCTCGTGGCCTCTAAAGCTGGCTTCGCTGCCCTCACTTCCCTCCCTGGGTGAGTGTCACTCCTATTGTGGGTGATGCTGTGGCGGATGGTATAGGTCTTGCTATACAATGGAATTAACCGCATGTTCTATGAGTCGGCGATGGTTTATTTACGCATGACGGAAAATGAAGTATTATATATGAAGTATATTATAATCTATACAATGAAGTATAAGACTACGCACAGATTGAAATAGTGTGACATGTGATATGGACGCTTGCTAGTGATTGACTGACATAAATGAGAAGAATGAACTATCGTTACTTACTAAGTACAAGTTACGGGACCACCCCGTATGTTACGGTCGGGCTTACGTTAGTTCCCCCGACAGATGCAGTTATTGTTTCAATGGGTGAAATGGTTAATGGTTCATAAACCTGGGTGCATGGGTGAACGTTCTATTAATTATGGGTGATGCCCCAAAGCCAGAGTGTTGCAACTGGGCAGCTATTTTTTGTATTTGTGTTGCAGTGTTATGTATATATTGGTGTACATGTATATTTTGTATGCCTGTATATGAATAGTGTTGCGTGTATATGGATATATTCGTTTATATGTATATTTTGTGTGCTTGTATATGTATAGTGTTGCGTGTATATGTATATATTCGTTTATATGTATATTTTGTGTGCTTGTATATGTATAGTGTTGTGTGTATTTGTATATATTCGTGTACATGTATATTTTGTATGCTTATATATGTATAGTATTGCGTGTATATGTACATGTATATTTTGTATGGTTGTATATGTATAGTGTTGCGTGTATATATTGGTGTACATGTATATTTTGTATGCTTGTATATGTATAGTGTTGCGTGTATATATTGGTGTACATGTATATTTTGTATGCTTGTATATGTATAGTGTTGCGTGTATATATTGGTGTACATGTATATTTTGTATGCTTGTATATGTATAGTGTTGCGTGTTGCAGGTTCCGGGAGAAGGTGGGGCTGAAGGTGATGCGGGGGTTGCAGCGGGGTGACGCTGGGGTTACACATGCAGCGCTGGACCTGCTGTGTGCGCTGCTGCAACCCATGCATAGCAACCCCGACCTCAAGCAGGAGCAACTCAACAAAACATCGTTGTTGCACTCGCAGAAGTTCCAGGAGAAACTCATGGAGAACTTCGTGTTGCACGTGGTGCGTGTTGCACGTGGTTGTGTTGCAGTACAGGTGTTACTTGTGGTGCAGGTGTTGCAGTGTCCTGAAGGCTCACTTATAATATGTTTCAATTGAATAATATACGGTATATACCTATACCTATATTATATATATATTTTATTTATATATTTCTTTTATTGTATATTTATTATTAATTATAATGTTTCAATTGAACCCAGCTTCCCCAAAAACTGGGGAAGCTGGGTTCAATTAAATTCAAAACTGGCTATCCAGAAATTAAAATTTCTCCTCCATACAACCTAATATGAGGGGTTCATGATTAACCCCCTACCTAACCCCCTCCTGTAACCCCCTGCATCCCCAGAAAATGGGGACTGGGGGCTGATATTTGTCACCTCCCCTTAATCTTTAACCCCTAGGTACCTAACGCTTCTTAAACCCCAACTTAACCCCCTGGTTCTAAAGAACCTTGGATTGGGGGCTGGTGTTTGACCCTTACCTAACCCTCCCTAGACCCCTATTTAACCCCTCTCCATCTCCAGAACCTGGGAATGGGGGAGACTTATGATAAGCCCCTACCTAACCATCCTTAAAACCCGATTTAAACCCCCATTGATCCCCAGAAGCTGGACCTAACCCTCCCTTAACCCTTACTTAACCCCCATTCTTCCCCAGAACCTGGGGACGGGGGTCTTAGCTTCAGCCCCTAGTTAACCCTCCCTTAACCCTACTTAACTCTACCTGGACCTAACCCCCACTCAACCCCCATTCTCCCCCAGAACCTGGGGACTGGGGGCCTGGTGATCGCCGCCATGCTGGACTTCCTGACGTTCGCGGTGGTGGCACCCTACAGCGAGACCACCGACGGCGCCCACTTCGACTTCCTCCTCAAGCTCCTGGCGCGACACGGCAGGCAGCTGTACAAGCTCTTCCAGCACCCCAGCCTGGCGGTGGTCAAGGTGGGGCACACGGCAGGCAGCTGTACAAGCTCTTCCAGCACCCCAGCCTGGCGGTGGTCAAGGTGGGGCACACGGCAGGCAGCTGTACAAGCTCTTCCAGCACCCCAGCCTGGCAGTGGTCAAGGTACGTTACATCCGGGACCCGAGGGCGGGGTGACCTGCCTAGCGACGACTCGGAGACGGAGGACGACGAAGGCGGCGCATCAGCGTGACTGTGGACTACGACGTCCTAAACTCCTCACAAGGTACAAGCTGTTCCAGGTACTGAGGATGCAGAGGATAGTAATGGTACCAAATAGGGTAAGGATACAAAGGAAACTAACGATAGTAAGGGTGAAAGATACTAAGTACTATAAGAAGGATACCTACTAAGGATATCATAGATAGGTACTAAGTATATGAAGGATACTAAGCATAGAAAGGAAAGTAACGATAGTAAGGGTGAAGGATACTAAGTATACTGAGGCAACTAAGTATACGAAGGATACTAAGTATAAAAAGGATGCCAAGTGTACAAAGGCTACTAAGTATAAGAAGGATAATAAGGATGCTAAGTACTTACATGTATGGCAGGGTGCGGGGCTGGTGCTGAAGGCCGTCATCGAGGAGGGGGACGACGACATCCCTGAGATGATGCAGCGGCTCTCCCTCACCGAGGGCGCTCTCCCCAGCCACCTCTACACGGCCCTCTACACCCGCCTCACCGACGACGGTCCGTCCCGGGCCTCATAAAGGCCAATCTATGTGTCTTGCTTCTACAGGGCCTTCCTATGTTCCCACTTCGGGCCAGTCTTTGTGGCCTCCTTCAGGGCCTTCTTTTGTTCCTACTGGGGGCCAAGCTTTGTGGCCTCCTTTTGGGCCTCAAAGAGGCCCAATCTATGTGGCCTCCTTCAGGGCCTTATTTTGTTCCTACTAAGGGCCAAACTTTGCGGCCTGTTTCTTCAGGGCCTTTTTTGGGCTTCCCAGGGGCTAATCTTTAGGGCCCCTTTATTCACGGCCTTCTTTTGGATCTCATAAGTAATAATATTTGTGGCCTCTTTAGGGCCAATCAATGTTGCATCCTTAGTCAAGGTCTTTTTTAGCCTCGCCTAAGGACCTTCTCAGTAGGATATTGAAGATTTTATTTGAAGCGCGTCCTGTAGGATCTTAAGGACCCTTTTAGCCATTTCTTTAATGGCCTTTTTTGTTGCCTCCTCTTGCTTCCTATTTGAACTAATTCAGTGACTTTGTTTTAATATGATAATTTTATCCATGAAAATAAAATTTTGAAATTTTTAATTCTAATTTAATATTATTTGAGAATAATGTGAAAAAATAATGATTGATTTAATGGGAATATTTGTATTAATGAATCACCATGGTTCAGGTCGGCTGCTGGGTCAGCGGCAGCTGTCCCGCCACTTGGTCGGCTTATGGACGGCCAACAACGAGGCGGCCATGGAGCTGCTGGGCCGCATCCTCCCTCGGGGACTGCTGGCCGCCCTCGAGAGCACAGAGACCGTCCCCGTGGACGACATAGACAGGCTCAGCCCCAGGTGAGGGACGCCAGCGTCCCCGTGGACGACATAGACAGGCTCAGCCCCAGGTGAGGGACGCCAGCGTCCCCGTGGACGACATAGACAGGCTCAGCCCCAGGTGAGGGACGCCAGCGTCCCCGTGGACGACATAGACAGACTCAGCCCCAGGTGAGGGACGCCAGCGTCCCCGTGGACGACATAGACAGACTCAACTGTCAGCGCAGTATTGCCGCAGTATCAGCGCAGTATTGCCGCAGAATCAGCGCAGTGTTGGCGCAGTATTGCCGCAGTATCAGCGCAGTATTGCCGCAGTATCAGCGCAGTGTCGGCGCAGTATTGCCGCAGTATCAGCACAGTATTGCCGCAGTATCAGTGCAGTGTCGGCGCAGTATTGCCGCAGTATCAGCGCAATACTGCCGCAGTATTGCCGCAGTATCAGCGCTGTATTGCCGCATTATCAGCGCAGTATTAATGCAGTATCGGCGCAGTATCAGCGCAGTGTCGGCGCAGTATTGCTGCAGTATCAGCGCAATACTGCCGCAGTATTGCCGCAGAATCAGCACAGATTCAGTGCCGTTTACTGCAGCATCAGGGCAGATTCAGCGCAGTATTGTCGCAGTATCTGCGCAGATTCAGTGCCGTTTACTGCAATATCAGCTCAGATTCAGTGCCGTTTACTGCAGTATCAGGGCAGATTCAGCGCAGTATTGTCGCAGTATCAGCGCAGATTCGGTGCCGTTTACTGCAGACCAATAACACTAATCACTCCACCGCCTTCGCAGGGACAACCTGGCGATCGCGGCGGCGGCAGAGGCGGCGGCCGCCAAGCAGGGGTCGGCGGTGGTGCGGGCGGTGGGCGACGCCGTCAAGACCACCGCCAAGAAGGTCGAGCGCCTCGTGGAGCGCCACATGGACGTGAGTCGCTGGGTCCTTAGTATCCTGAAGGAGGTTCTTGCAACACAGCGTTAAAGTGGGTCCTGCAACACGGTCTTGATTACTCAATCATGTATTATATACTTATTTATTTATAATTCTTTTCGCGATTTTGAAAGTACATAAAAATATTACAGCATATTATCCTTGATGTGCTGTAGTGCCCAGCACATCAAGGGTCCGGTGCTGTAGGGACCATGGCCCGTAGTATCACAAATACATGAGTTCGTAACTCCGTCAGCCAATCACAGACGGGCTCTACCAGCTAAATCCATCAATTACAGATGAGAAATCAGCCGCTACGGTTTACTTAGGCCGTTTAGTGCACCTATGCCGATGGGTGTACTTATGTAGGTTAGTAGTTGTACTAAAGCGGGTTGTGATAGCGAGGCCCTAGTGTTGTAACTTGTGTTGTTTTGTAACTTGTGGTGTAATTTGTCCTGTGTTGCTCGAATGACCCTATGTTGCACATATGTGCTAGTGTTGCACATATGACCCGGTGTTGTAACTCGTGTTGTGTTGCAGAAGCTGGAGGGCGTGGAGCGCAGCCTGCAGCCGGCCACCAAGCAGATAGAGAAGTACTACGAGCAGTACCTCGAGAAGCACCTCGACGTGAGTACCTGTCTGGGGATGATGAGTACCTCTGCCCTTGTGGTGATAAGTATACCACTCACCTCATGTGGCACATGACATGTCGGGGGGTAATAGTTTCTCGTGGAGTAATAATTTTCACGGGGTAATAATTTCTCATGGGGTAATAGTTTTTTCGTGTTTTTGGTTTTCATTGCTGATTTTCGATAGTAGGGCGGTGAGTTAGTGGACCGGCGTTCGCGGACGCCCCGGGAAAGGAGCCTAAAAGAAAGGAAGGGAATGAGGGAGAGAGGGCAAAAAAGGGGAAGGGAGGGAGGGCGAATGATGGGAAGGGGGGGGGGAGGAAAAAAGAAAGGGCGGGGAGGCTAAGAAAATCGGAGGCTTCAGCAAGGCCGAGAAGTGCCGAGAAAAATGAAGTGCCGAGAGGGTGGTGGGGAGGAAGGTTCGGGTTGTGAGAGGGGTCGGGGCACGGGAGGGACGCTTGGGGTCCCAACTCGGGACCAGGTCTTCATGGGTCTTGGCCCAGGTTGGGGAGAGCCAGGCGGTGAAGAGTTTCTAGCGCATTTTCTCATTTATGGGAAAAAAGCGCTTTTGCGCTCGTCATGTCCGTCCGTCCGTCTGTCTGTCCATCGTCCTGTCTGTCTGTTCGTCCGTGACTTCATGTTTTCGTCGACGAGAAAATGCGCTCTCTGTCACTCACTGCAGTGAGTACTGAGTTATATTTTTCAGTTAGTCGGGGAGCTTTAGTTTAGTTAGTCGGTAGTTTAGTTCTCTCCAAGAACCTGCCGTGAGTTGTTGAGGGAGTTTGTTGCACAAACCTCTCACTTGCACATGCTTTGCAGAGCAAGCAACAAACATCACTGCTTTTGTAACTTTTTTTTTTTTTTTGTTTATGCTGCACAGAAGGACTTGGTAAGTCTTGCCTGTGAATGTCTCTTCACATTTTACAAGAAAATATGCTGCGAACTATAATAACAATGAATTTAGAATAATAACTTTTTGAAAAATTATAATTTTGGGTTGAATTTCAATTCAAGTAACTCGCAGGTTTTTTAGCGCATTATCCCAATAACCCGATCTCGTATCAGTAGTTGTATATGCCACCAAATGCCATGTTTATCTTAGATTTATATGTACCTATTTATTATCGGTGAATTTTTTAAAGTTCATAATAATTTCAAAACTTAGACTTAAAACTTTTTAACTGGTCAGTGGTCAGGACATTTGAATATCAAACCTGAATTTGGTGTTTACATGAGTCATAGCTAAGAAAAAGTTTTCTACGCATCACTTCCTAGAAAACGGATATGTTTATTGCAGTGACTGCTTTATTTGTACCCGCACCTCGATTTAATCAAGCAGTTGTTTCATCATTTCATGCAAATGTCCATCTATTGCCTTGGTTATTTTCCTCTTATTTTATTGACTACATCTTGATATTTGGTTATGCATGACCGTACATACAACTCTTGCTTCTTGCTTCCTTGGCTGGTAACCGTTGGTTGCATGTATTTTTTTCGTATTCTATTGATTAATTTGGCTTGCCACAATTCGTCACCTCACTCCAACTTTCATTGCTGCCACCCCCGTCACCCCACACCCCCGTCACCCCACACCCCCGTCACCTCTCATCTTCTGTCACACCTCATAACTCTTACCCCGTCATGCCTGATATTACTTCTGTCACTCCTCACCCCCCGTCACCCCACTACCCCGCCCCTCCCCCGCACAGCTGGCGGTGCAGCACTGGAAGCAGCGTCTGCGTCGGGAGAAGACCGTAGAGGAGAGGTTCAGGGAGCGTCCCATAGTGCTGCGCAAGAGACGCGAGCACCTCAAGCCCACCGCCAACTGGCCGCTCTTTTACTACAACTTCCAGCGCGACCACGCCCTCCCCAACCTCATCTGGAACCACGGGGTTAGTGTCACGGGGTGTAACGGGGTGCCTAACTTCATCTGGAACCACGGGGTACGTGTCACGGGGTGTCACGAGGTGCCCAACCTCTTCTGGAACCACGGGGTTAGTGTCACGGGGTGCCCAACCTCATCTGGAACCACGGGGTTAGTGTCACGGGGTGTCACTGGGTGTTGCGGGGGAGTCACGCCCTGCCCAACCTCATCTGAGACCACGGGGTACGTGTCACGGGGAGTCACGGGATGACCAATCTCGTCTGGAACCACGGGGTACGTGTCACGGGGCCACTGTTATGGAGTAAGTGCCCCGGGGGCGAGTGCCGCGGTATAACTCCCCAACATTCTTCTATAAACCTAATACTTAATATTTTTATGTTGAATAACTTGTATATTTTAGTTAATTATATCCTATAATCTTAATACTTACGTGATTCTGAAGAGATGAAAGTATATTTCACGACCCCGCAGACGCGGGAGGAGCTGCGGGTGGCGCTGGAGAAGGAGCTGCGGGAGTTCGCTGAGGGGCGCGACCTGCCCGGCGAGGGGGCCGTGTCCTGGAACTACCAGGAGTTCGAGGTGAGGGGTGAGGTGCCCGGCGAGGGGGCGGTGTCCTGGAACTACCAGGAGTTCGAGGTGAGGGGTGAGGTGCCCGGCGAGGGCGCCGTGTCCTGGAACTACCAGGAGTTCGAGGTGAGGGGTGAGGTGCCCGGCGAGGGGGCCGTGTCCTGGAACTATCAGGAGTTCGAGGTGAGGGGTGAGGGGTGAGGTGCCCGGCGAGGGGGCCGTGTCCTGGAACTACCAGGAGTTCGAGGTGAGGGGTGAGGTGTCCTGGTGGGAGGTGAGGTGCCCCTTATTCAGTGATGGTGTGTACGATGGTGATCGTTCACTATTAATAGCATTAGTTATTTATCTAGCGGGCACATTTTCGGTTATAGTACATACCGAGAGTTCTTTTTGGTCTTTTTGGAGCAGCCACGTCTGACTTAACTGTCGTAGTAACATTGATGTCGGACCTTAACTTCAGCGGTTGCGAGGTAGCACAAGGTCAGGTCAGAGCGGCTGAGAGTCGGTTAGTCAGTTCGAAAGTGGGGTTCTACATGGGGGTAAACTGACCCATGTACACACCAGTTCTACAGTCAGTGAGGTTCTACATGGGTTTCTACCACTCATGTTCACCCCACCTCTACAGTAAGGCTAGTACTGTAGTAAGTAATGAGAGCGGAATGACTTCCGTTCTCCTAACTAGCGATTCTGTACCTATTGCTATAACTCGTGGCTGTGTTTTTGAAAACTTATCAAGCAGAGTAATGATATGAATATGTTTCTCTGGTTTTGGTAATTTCAAACTTGTATCTCTTTTTAAACTGATCTATATTTAAATAAAATTATCTTTTCTCTACGTGAACTGATGTTTCGATGAACTGAAACATAATGCAATAATAAAGCAGTGAGACAAGCTGTATTTTCAGATATGCTGAAAAGTTTGGCTAACGTCCGATGACAATGATAGCCTGTATGTTATGCTGCAGTTGATTAACGTAGAACACATTGTGTTTAATTATATTATAAAAAATGATTATAATGATACATATGCCAGCCGCTCTCACCTCCCCTCGCCCCGCAGGTTATATATATTATAAACAATTATTTTATGTATACATATGCCTACATAATAAATAAATACGTATTTATTATGATACATAATAAATAAATACATATTTATTTATATTATTAACCCCGCAGGTTGAGTATGCATCCCTGAACGAAGAGATCCGCATCGGGGACTACTACCTGCGCATCCTGCTGGAGCAGGACTCTGCCATGCAGGCGCAGGACTCCCCCATACGCAAGTCGTGAGTGTAGGACTCCCCCATACGCAAGTCGTGAGTATAGGACTCCCCCATACGCAAGTCGTGAGTGTAGGACCCCCATACGCAAGTCGTGAGTATAGGACTCCCCCATACGCAAGTCGTGAGTGTAGGACTCCCCCATACGCAAGTCGTGAGTGTAGGACTCCCCCATACGCAAGTCCTGAGTGTAGGACTCCCCCATACGCAAGTCGTGAGTGTAGGACTCATACACACTGTTTTGTACCCAGCAAAGTGCTATTATTTAAATAAAAAATATAAATATATGCATTAATATGTAATATAAATTATAATAATAACAATAATTACATTACAGAATACATAAATATTTAACAATAATTTCAGATTTAATAATAATTAATGATAATGATAATAATAAAAATAAATGCATAACAGGGATACATTAATATATATTGTAAATTTCAATAATTAAAGATAATTATCAATTATAATAATAACTAGCAATAATAACAATTATTAATAACAATAACAATAATAATTATATTACAGATTATAATAATATGTAATATAAATTTCAATAATGAATAAAAAATAATAATAATAATTATGTTGCAGAAGACATTAATATTTAATGTAAATTTCAATAATAAATAATACTAGTTATTCACAATAATTACGTTGCAGAATACATTAATTTAATATAAATTTCAATAATTATTGATAAAAATCACAGCAATAATTACATTACAAATACGATTAATATGTAATATAAATTTAAATAATAATAATTAATAACAACAATAATTACGTTACAGAATAAATTAATATGTATTGTAAATTTAAATAATTAATGATAATTATCAATAAAAGTAATGACCATCAATAAATCAATAATAATAATTATTAACAATAACATCAATAATAACGTTACAGGTCTGAGTTTTTCAACGACCTGTACCACCGGTTCCTGCTGACGCCAGCAACAACAATTAATGATAATTATCAATAATAATAATGACTATCAATAATAATTATTAACAATAACAGCAATAACTGTCACACTGTTAATAATTAATATTAACTAATTATTCCTAATAACTATTAATAATTACAGATCTGAGTTTTTCAACGACCTGTACCACCGGTTCCTGCTGACGCCCGCAGTGCCGATGAAGTGCTTGTGTCTGCAGGCCATGGCCCTCGTCTACGGCCTTCACCATGATGACATCGGGCCCTTCAACGACACTAAATACATCGTCACCATGCTGGCACGCTGCCAGCACTGCCAGGAGCGGGACAGACTGCTCGTCTTCCTTAGTAAGGTGCGTGACAGATGCTGGCACGCTGCCAGCACTGCCAGGAGCGGGACAGACTGCTGGTCTTCCTTAGTAAGGTGCGTGACGTGTGATGCTGGCACGTGTCTACGAAAGAAACGCATGTGACTCCTGAGTACGTGAGTAGGAGGTCCTTTTTCACCTCTTCAAATGCAAAGCCTAAGTGATCATCGTTAAGGTATTTATTTACGACCGTTCGTGCATCACCCCATTTTTATGGGTGTGTTGTGCCAATTGCTGGATACGACTACAGTCGTCAGTCAACCCCGTGGATTCAAAATGAATAGTCATATGATCCAACCATGTTTTCACGTCCGTTTCAGCCGTACCGACCGATGCCGGTGGCTCGCCTTGCAATACATGACCACGAAAGTTTGGAATCTAATTCGGGCTCAGAACGTATGTCATAGCAGGTCGGCTATTTACCATATCCAACGTCGATGATCCCGATGTTGGCCCGACAGCGGCGTGCGTTGCAGCGGGCGTAGATGTTGCGCTGGGTTGTGTACCGGGTTCCATTTCCACTTTTGGTTCACTGTCTGGGTACCTAATGAGCACTTTCCTGGTACACACTCCAATTTTTAGGCTGTCTTCTAGATCTGAGTCACTACTATTTTGCATTTAGTATCACTGTCAATCAATCACTTCACTTCTCATCTGTTCGTTAGCGCCACTGTCACAGCTCGTGTTTTGACTACACCCTATGCTATCAGTCCATCGGTTCAGGATTCTTAGAAGTGGTCTGGTCTTAGACAGTCAAGGGGACTGAAGGACAGCGTTGACTTTAAGTTGATACTATATTTATATTACGGAACGCATGAAAAAGCGGGTTGACTGTAAGCAAGGCTTAAGCTCAGCCAGAAAACGTGTTGCAAGGGCGGCTGGTGAGTGTCTGCCTGTCAGTGCTGAAGGCACGGTAAAGAACCTCATATATATATATTAGTATATATTACTATATATTAGTATATTTTGGCAAAATTTTTTCATTTAGGCAGGTTTCATTGGAGACTAGAGAATTTGTTTTAATGGCAATTTGATTAGTTTTTCAATATATCGAACAATATTTTTCGTTTGCCCTGGCAAATCAAAAATCAGCGTGCCGATGGACATTTTTATTTTGTTAACGACATTTTGAATGTTAAATAGGATACTACCCAAATATCGAAATTGTTAGGAATAATTTGAAAATTATATACCTACATATATAAGAAAATTATATATATATATATATATATGTGGTATAATATATGATAATTATATATATATATGATATATGGTAATTATTCTAACATTATAATATATTATCAGCTGATCCTGCACCGGGGCAACGTGCGGGAGGTGCTGGAGGGGGGCGGGGTGCGGGTGCTCACTGACCTCATGTCCCTGGCCCACCTACACACCCAGCGTGCCCACCTACCCACCTCCTCCAACTGTATAGAGGCTGGTACTACCAGCACACTGCACCTCAAGGAGTGGTACTACCAGGTGGGTGGTACTACCAGGTGGGTGGTACTACCAGCACACTGCACCTCAAGGAGTGGTACTACCAGGTGGGTGGTACTACCAGCACACTGCACCTCAAGGAGTGGTACTACCAGGTGGGTGGTACTACCAGCACACTGCACCTCAAGGAGTGGTACTACCAGGTGGGTGGTACTACCAGCACACTGCACCTCAAGGAGTGGTACTACC